GAGGGATGTGCCTGTGGGGTAGCCGATTTGGGCATGATTCCCTGGCCTTCTGGGAGCATGTCCCTGGAGACCAAACATCACAAACACACATACTGCATGAGCACCCTTACAGGTGTGTGAGGTCCTTGGCAAGCCCCAGGAGAGTGAAAATCACTGTATAGCTATACAATAAGGCAGGAAGCACAGCAGCTGACAGTGAACTGAGATGACTTTAAGGCTCAGCAGCAGGACAGCTGAAATGAATAATGGCAGCGTCACATTGCCATTTAAGTAGAGACAAGGAGATTAGCAATCAAATCATGACTTGGTTAGCCTCAGTTGTGTCAAAGGGCTCAGAAAGTTAAAAGCAGGGCAGACAGAGCTACTAAGTTTGGCCTGTGAAGGGAGCAAGCAGGATGCTCTTCAGGGGTTGTGCAGTGAACTGGTCACTAGACAACTGCTCTAAGAAGGTTCATGAGCTGAGGGCTGTGTCTTTGCCCTAGGGAAAACCCTCAGCCTGGCAGATGGTGCAGACCAGAAACAGAGCTATGGCTTAGCTCTTGCTCCCTGCTACTCTTACGGGTTTGTTCTGTGCTGCAACTGTGCCCATTGGGGATGTTTGTGGGGGTGATCTGCATCTTCTGGGCGTGCCACATTTGAAGGATTTGAGTTCACTGGGTTGGTGTAAGGAGAGGGTCTGCTGAGCTTTCTCCAACACCCACAGCCCTGAACAGCTCTGTCTACATAGCCAGAACAGGATCTTTAAAGTATGCATCCTAAAGCATAACAGTGTTGCTTATAGAATAAGAGTAAAATATCCCTTTGCATATCACATGAGAATCCTAATTGCATGGGGTCTGCACTGGGAATAGTACTGCGTGGAAATCTCTTGTGTTTAGTTGGTACTTTGGGATTAAGGCAGTCATAACTTCTTTCTTAAATCCGTTCTGAAGTACTTGACTTCATGTTTAGGGAGACGCTAAGTTGGTGCTGAAGTCTTGTCCACATTAGTTGAGTTCAATTTCTGCAGGGAAAGCTGCTCCTACAGCAAAACAGAAGAGTGTACAGAGGAGCCTGAGTGGGAGGAACAGGTTTATCCAAGTGCGTTATGCAGTATTGGCCCTTTAAAAGCCAGAGGATTCGAGTGCCCCTTGCTGTAGAGGAATGAGGTTAGAGAGCAGGTTTGAGTTTGATTCCTGGTGAATTCTGTGAATTATAGAAAGAAAATGCTCCTGGCAGGTTTTGTGCTTATCTGTACTGCACTTTTTTCTTTATGGTTTGTTTGTTTCTCTTATTGATCATAGCCAGGAGCAGTATCATTGAGGGAGCTTTAGGCAAATAAAAGTATCAAGGTCTGTGGAGTTTTGTTTTAATACCCCCCCCCACCCCCCAATAAGCACTGGGAATATTGCCTGTTGAGAGGGGTGTTTCCCTTCCTTTTTTTTTTGTAGACTGTGAAAAGTTCTCAGTTTATTTCATTGTCCTTCTGCCTTCTGTTGTGACTTACTGGGATGTCCCACCATCCTTAATTGGCAAGGAGACCTGCTGGTTTTGAGATTTTCCTACAAATTGAGGTTTTCAGCAAGACTGCTGCAGCACAAGGCATAGCGATGCTGGAAAAATAGAAACTGCTCTGTAGATGGAAAGAAGCGATGTTAAAATATGACAAAGGTAGGGAGTCTCTTAAAAGTCACGCGCAGAGTTTTGCCTCTGGGCTAGCAGGAAAAATCCTGTCCTCTGATTAGAAGGTTCCCTCTTCAGGTAGTAACTCTGTAGTGAGCTTTGGGGAGAAAGATGGGTAAATCTTTTTCCTTGTTAAAAGCTGCCTTCACCTAGAATTTTGTCTGTAGGCCTCCCAGCCACATTGTTTGTTGTACGAATGACAAATCCCAATACCCCACTTTATGCCCAGACATGAGAAAGGCGGTTCCCTGGTAGGAAGCAGCTCTTCTGCTGCCTGTTGCTGCCAGCGTAGCTGATTGTGTTCAAGCTGGGCCCTCTGCAATCAGTGGAAAGATGCAGCTGGTTTCAGGACCCTATGGACCTGGCCTGGCTTGCCTGTTGATTTTTGGGATGCAAAGGGAGCCCAGGTCAGGTGTAGAGATGGCTGTACTAGGTGAGACAAATCACCCATTGCCCAGACAGCTCCCTAACCCTCCTGGGCTGGGCTCTGTGTTAGAGAGAACTCTGTGCTGGCTGTGCACGTCTCTGAGCTGCTTCTGTATTTGGTTCAGATAGGCACCCAAAGGTGCAGCTGCTCACCAGTGCTTCTCCCCAGCAGAAAGAGGCCCAAGGAAAGGCAGAAACCAGGGAAGGAGAGGTCTGTATGTTTTCAAAGTGCTTTCTGACCCTTTGGTGTCTGGAAAAGCATTTGTTCGCTGGTGCTGCTTCCTAAATGGGTGATGCTCCTGCAGAAGAGGATCTGTGCAGCGTGGAGAGACAGGAACGCTGCTGCTGTCAGACTGTGTTAGGGCCAGGAGGAACGCAGTGGTTTTGTGTGTGGCTTAGGGCTCTCTGCTTCACTCCCCTTGAGTTTTACTTTGAGTTTGGGCATGAGCCTCAAACTTCAGCAAAATCAGGTCAGGTCAGGAAAAAAAAAAGCATGTGTAAGATAAGATTTCTCCTCCAACCTGTCCCTAGGCAGGCATTGACTCAGAAAAGCCTGGGATTATGAAGAGGGCAGTTGTTAAAGCTTGAATCGGACCTGACCATGTGTTTATGTGAGATCAGTAACAAAAAGGGATGCTGGGGCTTTACCCTATGTTTTACTATGGTGACACTCAGTCTTCTGGTGGAACAGCACTTGCATCTATAGCATGGATGCAGGAGGACCTTGGGATCTTAGGTGGTGTTTGGCTAAACTCTAAAAATGGCATGGAGTTACTAATGATGAGCAGATCTGCTCTATATTTCACTCAATAGGCTATTTAGTACAATTGGGAGAGGTTTTCATGTCCTTCCAAAATAATTTGCGTGGTCGAAGTATAGTTTACACCCTGAAGAAGGAGGAAGGGGCCTTCTACCCTGTAGCTGAATAATCTTCCCAAGAAAGGGAAAAAGGTCAGGGTTGTTTTTTTATCTCCACTTATCTCTACTCCTCTTATCCTTGAGGTGATTCAAGACAAGATCTCCCCCCTTCCCCACCACACAGAAAGCCTCAGGCTGTGGGAGCATCTTCTACATCTCTTCTGCTCCTGCTGGGAGCTCTTCCATTTTGTGCAAAGTACTTAAACATTAAAATTTAACCAGAGAGTAAAAACGAGGCTAAGACCCATTCAGGGACTCAAATGTAAGTCTTGTATCGGAGAGTGCCTATTAGTGCCTTTACTATTGTGGTATTAGGTAAAAGGGAGGAGGGGGGCAGGCTTCGGGAGGGTGGTGCAGTCATCTGTCTGTGCCTGAGAAAACAGCTTTTCACTTCCTCTGGCTTTGATGTGCTTGTTAGAAAAGCAAGTTAAATCAAGCTTCTGCCTTCAACAAAATGGATATTTCATTTTGGTAAGAAGAAAGCAAAACGCTTAGCTCAATCTAAGTCTCAGTTTGACAAACTGGCTTGACTGATGTTAGCTCTTAGTAGATGGCCTGTACAATTATACTTATTTACTGTCCTGGAGTTGTCTCGCTGGGAGAAAGCCTGCCTGCAGCCTACAACACTTTGGTTGCTATGAAATCACTTTTTTTTTTTTTCAGGCAGCATAGAAATCAGCTGATACCAGTTTATTCAGTGGCTTTTGTAGCTACGAAATAGTACCTGACTGTCCCCTGGCTGGTGGAAGGGTTGCCGAAGCTGAGATCCTTTGCACCTGCAGCCTGTCTGCATTGTTGGGGGGGGGGGGGGGGTTGCCTGTGCAGAAGCACAAGCTGAGGATGCCATCCTCAAATGGAAGTTGTACAGCACGGTGCAAAATCATTAGAGACGGGGGCTCCTAATGGAAACAATTAACACGCAACGTGACCGGAGTTATATAATGACTATGGCTTATTAAACAGCCTCACTAGAGGCATGGAAGATGGGAGGCTGATGAAATTTTGGTATGCTACACTGGATTTTTTCCTGTCTATTGAGCCAGCAATAACTAGGTCCTATTTACTTTTGGTGGGTGGTCACATAAAACTACAAACTACCGTCACACAAGGAAGATCTCTGCCATCCAGCTAGTGTGTCTGTTCACGTGTAGCCAGCTAGCTTGCTTTCCAGAAGCAATGCCTGTGACAAATTTTAAGACTCGCATGATTAAAATTGAATTTATTTTTGAGCGTTTAATTTGTGTTTGATAGGTTGGACAGCAGGGAGACAGGTAGTAACACTGCAGACCTCTGTCATGAGAATTCAAATTGTCTGCCTTTTTTTTTTTTTTCTCCTTTTCCTCTTCAGCACAGATATCAAATTTTGCAGAGGCAATAGGGAAGCCCCTTAGCTGGTCCATGGCTGGCTCATGATGTACGGGGGCTGGGAAAGGACCCTGCTAGATGCAGAGAGTGGTTCTTATCTACCAGAGTATGTGGCACGTGTTTTGGAAGGGAGGAACATGCGGGATTTTAAAATAGAGGTGTTTTAAGGTGCTCATAAAAGCTTCAGAGGTCATTTTTTGGAGGTGTCTTGCATCTGTTCCTTTCAGGATTTTGCTCCCTGAGTCCCACACAGTTGGATTCATGCAGCCTGATTCAGCACTCAGTTACTTTGGTTTTACACCACTATAATAACATTGATTTAAATAGATTTTCATTGGCATAAAACTGGAACTGCATGATAGTGAATCAACCATACAGAAAGCAAGGTAGTTGGCTTCACAGGCAGAATAAGAAACAATAAGCAAATTCTTTGCAACACTGCTAGCAAATATTCTTCTGCACAAGTGGCATATTTAGAATACATAAGCTGTCTAAGGACTTTCATTTGGTAGGTAACTTTCAGCAAAGCGATGTTCCATAAATCTGTTACTTTCTGCTGCACCAACGATGTATTGCATTTTACCTGCTCATCTGATCTCCATTTTATTTGCCTGTATGTCTATGTATATATGAATATTTTACAACCACGCATGAAAGGAATTGCAGAAAGCTGTCTTATCTGCCGAGCACTTCTACATTTACTCTGGGCTTAATGGGGGCCAAGCAAATTGGGTCTCTTGCTACTTGCTGCATGTTTGATATATCTAATAATTATTATTTT